TTATTGCAGTAACGGCGTACCAAAATGAAGAGGTAGGCAATGCACCGATGTGTGTGTGTGTGTGTGTGTGTGTGTGTGTGTGTGTGTGTGTGTGTGTGTGTGTGTGTGTGTGTGTGTGTGTGTGCTTTAGAATAAAATTAGTTTAGCAAGAAATATGGTTAACAGAAATGGAATACAAATAAAGTTTAATGTGTGCGTAATTTACGCACAGCTTTTGCGCACGATTTAGTTTATTCGGGATTTTTTAATTTGGGGTTTTGATTTTGCTCGTTTGTTTGTTTAATTTTAACAAACCATATCCACGTTATTTATACTTTTTTTTTTAATATTTGGATTTTAGATAACTGCCCTGAAAATAAAGTACAACCCTTTTGCCAAGGCCTTTCTAGACGCAAAGGAGAGGTAAGGATACATGTGAAGTTTAAATTTTGCATTAAAGTGTGTGAAAGGGTTTTCTCAAACAACACAACAAGTAGAAATAAACCAGTCTTCATTCTTGCAGGACTGATAATAAAGACATACGAGAAGATGCCAGTGAAAACCAGCAATCTGGTTACTCTCAGTGTAAGTATATCTTTTTTTTTTCTTTTTTCATTGTAATAAGCAAGTGGTACTAATCTTTTCCTTTATTTTCTCCTCTCATGGAGACAGTGGGTAGCTGGTTTATTCCAGGGACAGCTCCTCTCTGCCCTTCAGCCAGTCCTCACAGCCAGTTCGGGAGTCCAATCTCCCTCTCGCCATCCCATGGTTGCGAGCGCTACTCCACTCTGAGGAACCACCGCTCTGCCCCTTACTCCAGCCCGTATACCCATCGGACCAACTCACCCAGTGAGTATCTCTCTGCACCAGTTACCTTCGTATAGAATCACACCACTTCCTTCCCCAACTATTAACAAGAAACTCAAACAAACGTTACTGAGCTGGGAATGTTTTGCATTCCTTTGGCTTTTGTGCGAGCGGAGCCTAAGAGCTGTAAACAGCGTGGCTTTGCACAAGGATGTATGAGATTCACCCCTGTCACTGTCTGGGGGACTAGTCCTGAAACATACAGACAAAACAACAGGTGATAAACTTTATAATAAAGATATATAATTTGACTTTTGACAGATATATCCAAAACCACTGAACACAGATGTCTTTGTGTTGCAGCCAGTTTCTCAGACAACTCTTCAACCTGTCTGTCGATGCTTTCAAGCCATGATAACTGGTCCAGTCTTCAGATGCCAACACACTCGAGCATGATTCCCATGGCCCATAACTCCACCTCTGGTACCAGTTCTAGGTTTGTGCTGTTTTCTTCTGCTTATTTTTCACTGACTCTAGTCAGAAATAATAGGATAATCACAAAAGACAATGAAAAATCAGTCCTTGGATGTGCAAGATCACAAATCTTCTCTCAATTATTATCTCTTTTAGTCCAAAAGTATTAGTAAAGCATTAGGAGGAACAAGAGTTTGGTTCACGTTTGGTCGAAATGATCATTTAAACATACAAATAATTATACAAGATGCAAATAGTGCATTAATAATACTGGCGAGAAAGGAAAAACACATATATAAGGCAAAGATTTCAGCTAAACTAGATTATAAATCAGTTATTTGTAGCAAAGGTCCATTTTTATGCATTTTGAAATAGATCATGTACAAAAAGAATTACATTATTAGAAGTTAAAATACTTAAACTGGCTCTAACACTGAAGCTTTAAAGAGTGTGAGGCACTGACTTGAGATTGTTTGTTTGTTCTCACAAACAACCGTTAGATACAAAATCCATACAAAAAGTAGCATCATCAGAGACGTTGAATAGCTCTCCTTCATTTCTCTCAAATTTAGCTTTTCATTTTGTCTTTTTCACTTTGCAAAAACTTAATGATCTTAAAGTTTCAAATGATCTTGTTCAATGTGTTAAAAAACACAATGAACAAATACAACACATTAAAAAAAACTTTATTGATGCCATGTCTGAACATTTGAATGAGAAGCACTTTTAAAACATCCAAAGAAGAGACGAATGAGAAGTTTTCTGTCCATCTCTGTCCAGTCAGTACACCAGCCTGTGGTCTGTGAGCAACTCGTCACTCACTCCAGTGTCCCAGAATGGGGGGATAAACAACTGTCTGAGCTCCCAGTTTCTTCGAGGGTCCAGCAGCCACTATCCCACCCTGTCTCATTCAGCAACAGTGCCCTCCTCTGGCTCTCCCATGTACGACAACAGTACGGCCACAGAAGTGCACGATACGGCTCAGTATGACCTCTCGCCACTTGGCCGACTGCCATCCGCCTGGACCCCAGTTACGCCTCCGTCCCTGTGATGAAAAATTCTCTTCAAGCTGAGAGAAAAAGAGAGAGATCGCCATGAAACCTCATGCTTTACCTGATGTTGGTTTGAAAGGTGAAATTAGTTCTCAAAAACATGATTTGGTCCTTTAAACGTCACTGATAATATTCGGTCAGTTTCTAAGACATTTAAACTGGTGCTAATGAAAAGCAGCAAAGGCTTAAATTCAGCCTTCGGAGGACAACTGAAATAGCTGGGGGGATTTTCTTTTGGTTTACTTTTGCTTGAATTCATTCAAAGTATTTATTCAAAAAAGCAGGAATTTTAAAATGTTAATCTGCTTACATTAAGCATAACTGCATAACATTCACTGCAGTAAGCAACAAAGATGTACAGTTGAAAAATGTTAAATCGCTAATACATTGTTTATAGTGTAAATGGGAAAGGAATCCAGCAAACTGTAAATAGCTAAGTGAGGGGTTTGTTCAAGGTTTTTAAATGAAAAGTGGAATCCATTGTCAATATTCTGCAATCTGACATTAAAGATCATGTTTCTCATATCATCTCTTTTACATTCTCCCATTGTCCTTTCATTGTCCGTGTGGTTTTAATCATTTAGTCATATTGATTCAACAATAAAAATAAGGGACAAAAGGTTTACTGATTTTTTTTAAGCTGAAACATTTCATTAGGATTGTGCTATTTTATTTTAAATCATTTACACTATTCACACTGACTTCAGCATGTGCAGTATGTCTTTCTGCTTCTCCTTCCAATGAGCAAAGAAGAATAATTTTAAACATAATTGTGTTTTCACAGGACTCTCTGCAGTCCTGTGAAAATGTAAGTCCACCTCATGCTTCAATAGCTTGCAGAAGCACCTTTAGCAACAACTTGAAGTAGGGTCAAGTTCTGGGTGAATTTGTCAGTCTCTCGCATCATTGTGGAGGAATTATAGCTCACTCTTCTTTATGACCAACAAGCCCAAATTATTAACCCTACACCGCCGCCGTGTCCGTCCAAGGACATTGTTGCAGAAGATTTGTGGTTTGTTCAGCTGCAACTTTGCAAAAGTTTAGATAGAGATGTTTAATCCTGTCAACCCTTCCAAGCAAGTCATACTAGTTCAGTCTTTTTCTAATTGTACTGTTGTAAAACGTAACATTTGACATGTGAACTGAGGCCCGTAGAGTCCGGGATGTAGCTCTTGCCTGGTCTGACCTTTGGGTGAATTTGCTGGGATTTGCTGGGACAAACTGCCAAAACTTCTGCTTTTATAGAGGTGGTCACGCTTGCTGATGATCAATTAAAGTACATATAATCAGCAGGGCTTTAATTCCTATGGAAGCAGTAAGGGTGTGCTTAGTTTTTCATAGACCTGTAGGATCCTTGAAAACTTTCCTTTTCACATGGCTGTAAGTAGATTTGAGGAAGGCAAGCTAAACCACTGGAGGCTGAAGTGCTTGAGTGTGAACGTCAGGGTGACAAATCTCAGAGAACCACACAGCTTTTGTGCTCACACCCCGTTTCCTTTTATATCTCTGTGGGACGTTTTCTTGGACACACATTAATCTGTGTCTGGAAAGTTGTGTGGGTTGTCATTATGAAAAGAATAACTTACACCCTGCTCAGTTTCACTTCTTAAACCTTGACGTTTTCTATATGCTGAAAGATTTTCAAAGTAGTATTGTAGTTTGGAATCTTTTTGGTTTGGTATTTAAATAATATTCTCATTAAATGCACAAACTATAGCCTGTTCGGCTCCCCATTATTATGCAAAAAGCTCTTTAGCACCATGATGTCAGAGTGCACGCCCAGGCGTGTTTCTTGTTAATTAAGTTAGAAAATATTAAGTCATGTCAGTGCAGGCATGACATGTAAATAACCTCAGGACATACAACAGTGTTGTTTTTGTTTTTGTCCCGTGTTATTGACCTGAAACGCTGCGGAATTACAACTTAATAAAAATGTATTTTTTTCTGTAGTTTTTAAATGAAATAATTTCACAACAATATTTGGTTTCTTCTAAAGTTCTAATTTTTCATTTTTCATTTTTATTTCTTTTTTTGCCTTTTTCCTTCAGACTGGATATCAACTCAGTCTTTGTTCACACCAGCACCGTATCCGCTGGTCATATGCCACATTAGATCTGGGTCACCACACTGTGATATCACATGGGAAGCTTTAATAATTCTGGTGTCTCTATAGTCGTGTGCAAGCACAACGGCTCCTCTCGCGTTTTATGTAAGTTCAACTTCTTTTTGCTCAAAGTGAAAACAGTGTGGTATCATATAAGGAAGTACCCACTCTAAATCATACCCTATTTTTTCAGCTGTTTTACACCAAATGGGTTTCCAACATTAACAACATCTGGATTAAATGAGATTCCAAACTAACCACTGACACCATAAACTCATTATAAAAAATATTCTTACACAGAGTTTAAAGTGGGATCATCTTCTAATAGAATTCAGACCAATCATACTTACCTCTACAACCAGAGGACCTGCCCCCTGCTGGCCATTAAAAACAATGTTTGTTTAAGGCACTTCCTCAGTGACTTCACTTTTCAGAGAAGTGAATGTTTCCAAATGTCTTCTTTCCATGATGTGAGGTCATTTTTTATTTCTCTTCTATTTATATTGTTCGCAGAGTCAGTTTTCCTAACACTGAAGCCATTACTGTTACATTTGCTGTATATTCTGTATATGCTTTTACTACAGGCTTGAAAAGCATACTTGAAGAAGGCCCTTCTTGGAGGCAGAGGCGACTGTGCAACAACAGGTCCCTTTATGAGGCAGATTAAGTCATTTCGGTACCAAGATAAAACCCACAGTTTGCAGCACAGAAGGCCAAACCCAGCCTCTGGGTGACAATCAAGTACCCAAAATCCCACAAATCACATTGTCGGAGGAGGTCGGTGTTTTTACTTCCACAAAACCTAAGAAACACTCAGAGGCACTACCATGATAAAGTTGAAGAGACTGCAGGAATTAATCTACTGCTCTGCAGCAAAAAGTTTTGAAGAAGCAGAAAGTAAACTATGTCAATGAAAGGAGAAAGGAGCACAGTGTTAATCTACAGGCAGACCCGGAAAAACAACTAAAAATGTCCAGAACAGAAAAAAACACCTTCTCATCTGACATGCTACCAGTAAATGTTCTGAAGCACCAGATCACGTGACCTAGATGGAGTGAACTTCAGTGGTGTAATTTGTGTCACTGCTTCAAAGTGCTGATTGCAAATAAACTTGTATGTAAATAAAATACTCATAAGGTACTCATTTTTTAATGTAGAGTGGCAGAAATAATTATTTGATCCCGCGCTGAATTTGTACGTTTGCTCGCTTACATAGAAATGAGCAGTACCTCATGTTTATGGCATTTTCATTTTAATGGAGAGAGACAGAATATCAACCAAAAATCCAGAAAAAGCACATCACATAAAAGTTATGAACGGATTTGCATGTTACTGAGTGACATGAGTATTGGATCTCCGAGCAAAATATGACTGAGAACGAAACTCTCTAAATCCTTCCGGTTTCTTGGTTGAAGGCAAAGTGGTGAAGTCGCCCGGTACACAGCCCCAAAGCATAATGTTTCCACCTCTGTGCTTGGGTTTGGGGATGATGTCCTTTGGGTCATGCTCAGTATTTCTCTTCCTCCAAACACAGCAGGTCTACTTGATGCCAAAGAGCTCGATTTTGGTTTTATCTGACCACAGCACTTTCTCCCAAACCTTCTCTGAATCATTTAGATTTTTACTGGCAAACTTAAGATGGGTCTGTACATGAGCCTTCTTGAGCAGGGGGACCTTGAGGGTGTGGCGAGATTTCAGTTATTTAGTGGTGACTGTGGTATCAACTGCCTTGTCCCTGACGTCCTTTGACAGCTCTTTGGTCTTGCCCCGTGGTGGTGGAAAGGTGGGAATTGGAGGAAACTGATTCTAAGGACATCGGGAGTATCTGTAGTTGACTGATGTGTCACATGGACATACAGTCAATCTGTGAACCAGAATTCTGGCTGCTTTGTAGGGGATGAATTGTTTTACTCAATGACATGCAAATAAATTTGTAACTTTTATGTGATATGTTTTTAGAAAAAAGCAGATTAAAATTAAAAAGTGGTCATTTCTTTGTAGGTGAGCGAACTTACAGATTCAGCAAGGGATCAAATAAATATTTCTCCCACTGTACTTACAGTATAACTTGTGTCTTTTTTTCCCTTTATCCCCACAGTTGTTACTTCCTTGTTGTACACACGGGCACACATTTTAAGTCGTGAAAATCACAGGCTGTATTAAGAAGAGCTAGCAAGTTTTTATTGTTTTATAAACGTATCTGTGTATCAGTGTCTCTTTGAAAGACAAACTTTTTAGGCATTTATATCCTGAATAAATATCTTTATTAAATACAGACGCTGGTAGTGATTTTACAGTGGACTGCAAACAATCATGAGAATTAACTAATAGTGTCACTCTTGAGGTTAGGCTAGTCTTTTAAGTCTTGTTTACTTGGTTTTGAAAAATAAATAATAAATCTGTCACTGTATATATTTAAACCCAACTGGACTTTCATTTAAGATTTAATTATGTTCCAATTGTGTAACAGAAGATTTTGACAGCACTTTCTATTACAGTTATCGTTCTGTGAGGAAGTTCATCTTGTAAGCTTGAAGAAAGGAGTATTGTTTAACCAAGAATTACATGAACACGTTTTAATCCAAGTGTAGCATCACATCAGTTACATTTCTGGGATGTTGATCTGGTCAGTTAAGTAGCAGAGGGGGTTGTTAATCAGTTTTAGCTGCTTTGGTGTTAATGAAATCAACAACAGGCCCACTAGAGCAGCAACAATAAGACAACCCCCTTAAAAAGAATGGTGGAGGTTGTTATTTCTGACTGTTTTTTTTTTTCAATAGTTTTGCATGTGTCATGTGTCACTATTTTCAATTCGATTCCATTTTATTTATATAGCACCAAATCACAAGAGCGGTCACCTCAAGGAGCTACTTGCAGCATGAACCAACACCTGGATCCTACAGAGGTTGCACAGGTAGTCCAGTTCCTCACCTTCAGGATAGCAAATCAATACTTACCATTGCCAGAAGGTCAGCTCCTTTATGAAAGGAGGAACAGGATGAGCACTACAAAATGACCTCTGGCAGTCACCAATGTGAATGTCTCTTGTGATGCAGCCTGGACACATAGTCAGTGATGCACACAGAGTCTTAACATCAGACACCCTCTCCCTGGTAACCCAGCCACGGGTGATTAGGCCCCGCTTCTGTCCAGGTAGCATGCTCCTCCATGTATCAGCCCTCTTCAGCAAAGCCTTCAGGAGGACTTATCTGCAGCTTCCAGGATGTTTTGGATACTATTCTGCAGTCCATACATCCCCAAGAGCCCTAGAACTTTAGAGACTGACCTGCAAAGGCCCTATACCCCACCTCCACAGGCTTGCAGCACACCTTCTCAGCACACCTGCCAAAAGTCGGCAACCAGTTCTGCATGTTTTACCTTCTTTCTTTCCTGCATTTCGTCCAACTAATCTTCCCATTGGACAGTCAACTCCAGCAGGATGACTTGCTTCAACTCTTCAGACAGCAGGCCTGTATCAGGCCTACGTGTGGTGACTGTCTGGGAACCTCAGCTGTCTCCCAAGATCACCCAGAAGCTGCCAGTCTCTTGTTATTGCCAGGAGCTTTCCCTGCACCCTTTGTTGGGGCAGTGTGGGCCCAAGAAAGATGTTGAAATACTGGTGTAAACAAGTCTGGCCCTGAAGGGCAGAAAAATTTGCAGTTGCCGTTGCTTCTTACTGTGGTTTATGACAGCACAGATGGTATCTGCTAACACCCAAAGAAGATGCTTGTGGTGCCAGTGGTAACGCCCCGACACTCCCAAACTCCTTGGCAGCTGCTGAGAATGTGGTCCAGTGTGACCTTCTGCTGGCAGAGGTGACAAAAAGGTGAGACAGCCAGGCCTCAACTGTACAGGTTGGAGGTGCTCAGAAGAAGATTGTATACCAGCTTCCCCAGAAACTTGAAGCGGAGAGCTTCCATCTTTTAGAGCTCTGCCGAAGTGATTTTACCTGCAGCATTCTCCCACTTGTTCAGGGTCCTTGTTTGTCCAGCATCACAGGTTTCCTCCTATTTAGCACGCAGTTTCTACTGAATGAGTTGGTGGCACTCTTTCTCCTTCCAAGCCCTGCTGGGCAGTTACCACTATGCCAACCAAGCTGTTATCCCGCAGTTTGGTGTCGTGACCAATATATTACTATACTATTACTACCTGTTTTTTCCCTCATAGGCATTTATTAGGTTCCACATTATCACCCCAGGTTCTGGCCTCTGATTACCCAGTTACATAAATTCCAGTGTAATAATACTCAGCTAAAACCATTGTTGATACAAAGTAGGTCATCACTTGTATATTACTTTGGTAATTACGTGGCAATATCTCACCAATTATATATGATTACCGTCTCATTTGCACCTTATTACCGCACTGTTACTACTTTATTACCAAGCTGCAATAGAAAGTGCCGCCAAGCTTTCATTTTCACATGACTGTATTTTTTCAACTCAAACCTGATTATCTTCCCATTTTGCAACAGGAGATTTTTATTACTACAATTTTGTGACGTTATGATCAATGTCTCGTTTTTTTCTATTCACTCTTTGTACTCACACCTCAACAAAACATTTCGATAACTGCAAAATACAGACACTTAAACAATTCTGCATTGATATAAGATAAGATAAGATAAGATAAGATAAGATAACCTTTATTAGTCCCACACATGGGAAATTTGTTTTGTCACAGCAGGAAGTGGACAGTGCAAAAGTTATGAAGCAAAAATTAGAATACAATAAGAATAAATACAGTATACAACTGTACAGAATAGAATAAAATAAAATACTATATACAGTAGAATAAAATATGCAAAACTATCATGTTTGAAGATAAAGCCATCAAGTAACAAAAAGTGCAGAAAGTCACTAAACTGCAGGGGGGAAAGGACATTATGACTGAAGCGACAGAAGGGTAGCCAAGAGGCACAAAAGCCCATTCAGTCCAGAATATCAAGGTCAGTCTATAAGGACATCAAGACATCCTCTCCTTTGTACGACCCGCAACCGCACACTGACAGGAAGGAACGGACATCTAATCTGCTAAATCAAATACACAACTGACTCATGTCTCTAAGCATCTCACTGTAAACCTATCTGAGCAGCTGAAATGGTCTCAGCCTGTGTACTACAGAGATGTTTAAACTGGATGTGATTACACATCAGTGTTAAATAAATCCTCACTGCAAAGGTGGATTGACTCTAACTGGGGGTAACACACACCAAAAAAAAAATGTGACTGCTTGATTTTTATAGAGATTCGCATCTAAAGACACATATTTGTCTTTGGCATTGGTGTGTAAACAAACAGACTTATCCGTGTAGGTTATCTCTTGTTCTGTGCTCATGGCTTTTATAGACTATTAGAAGTGCAATAAAAAAAAATCCAAAGGGAAGGCATAATCATCAGACTGTGGAATGACATACAATCAGTCCTTGTTGCAAGAGTCAATTATAGCCTGTGTCCTTTGCTTATTATAAGGAATTATATTTAAAGCAAAAGAATCATCATCATCATCATAATAATAATAGAAACATCTATCAAAAAATCTGAAAAAGCCACGAAGGCAGGGTATTTCTCTAAGCTTAATAATCCCATTATGATCCCAATGAAAAAAAGCTCTCTGTCAAAGCAGGGAGCATTGACGCAAGCATGTCTTGACGTCAGTAGCTGCAGTGAGTGAGGAATGGGAGGGGGAGAGAGAGAGAGAGGGCGAGAGAGAGAGAGCGCGCGAGCGAGAGAGATGCGTCTTTGCCTTCAGAAAATACCACGAAATGCCAGCGTCACTGGCACGAATGCAACTGTAGCAACAAACCTATGTTTGATTTCCAAACTACTCGCTTTGACATCAGAGTATGCACATTTTGTAGAAACGATATGTGCGCTGCGCTTGAAATCTAAACCAGATGTAGTAAATGGAATAAGATCCTCTGACCCGGGAGTGCTCATAAATAAATCAACTATGAGAGAATGAAGGGCGGGAGGGAGAGCATTTGCTCAACTGGTGTCAGGCACACCTCTGTGACTCTCCAAAAAAGCAAAATGAATGTGTAGCAGTCACTGATAATCTGATACTGTCTGTGCAGTTCTATCCAGATGGATATCTCCTCAAAACCTCCAAGCACGCACAGTCCTTTGTCGCTGTAGCAAAAGAAGGGCGCTGATTTCACTATTCTCTGGCATTCCTAGGCGAGTCGAGCGGAGAGGGAAAAACTACCATCAAGCAATTTGTAAAAGCCAGACCAGTGGCGTCATTGGCTGCTGCTGTATATACTGTGCGTAATACCACGATTCTTCTGCCTCATTTATTCACAGCTCATTCTCAAGTTGCTCTGTGGCTCCCGAACACTGAAGTCAAACCAAACCTATTCGTTCAAGACTGGTCTTCACAACATCATGCGTGTTTGTTCGATTTATGTTAGTCTCGCACACGGATTAGGAGGTTTTGTGCGAGACGTATCACAGACAAAAACATTGTTCTCCACTCGTCGCTGGACTGATGGTATTGTGAAAAAGAAGGTACTGTACTCCCCCTACACTACTTCTGTAGAACATTGTCTCCAATTTTACGCTGGAAAGGAATCCTCCCCTCCTTAACAGATGTTGCCGGAGAGTGTTTTCTACTCGCAACATAGTGTGTAGCGCAGATGTTGCCAGAGGAACGTATGCTTCGGTGTACTTTATCGGGCAGAGCACGTCCAGCTAATCTCCGTTTACATTGGCCTTTACTCTTGAAGATACCCAAGAGTTCCCGTTGTGTCGGCTGTGCGTCATCCATGCCTGATTAGACTTGTGGTCTGACGTCGCCGAGCACCATTCAAGCAAAATACCTCACACAATGTTGAAAGTCTAAAATGATTTTTAACGCATCCGGGATGACGAAAACCACTTTTTTCTTTCTTATATAGAGGTGGATCAACAAGTTGCCTCCAGTGCGTAATTTCCATCTGAGCAGGTCTGGAGCGTAATCCGCGACACACGTGATCGACAAATCACTCCAGCTGCAAATATTTCTCATTTGTCAAGAGAAATAAACCCCGGACGGAGGTGGAGACGCATCTTGTGTGATTACGGCGGGAATCAAGAGCTGACGGGCCTCTTGTTTCGCTGCGTCTCCAGATGCTCGACTGGCCGCCACATGGTAACTTTGCGCACACAGCACGCTGCAAAGGGCACATATAGAGAAGGAATCTGAATGAACGGGACTGAGATTTATTCGCATTTCTCTTATCGCCACCCCCAGACTGTTGTATGTGTATTATACCCTGCCGGTTGAAGGTGTCTCACGTTGTCAGCAGATATCAATTCGGCGGTGGATATATCAATCACCCGAACAGTGAGCAGCAAATGTCGAAGAAACGGAAAAGTCCTGATGACCAGGACTTTGAGGACTATCCGCCTGCAGGAACCAGCGACCAAGGTAGGAGTGATGGTCACAAATGAGAGTGTGAAAGTTGAACTGTTGTCAGAGTGCAGCTATGTGAGCTCCTCAGGGATTCGTTGGTGTATTTCTTTATATTCAGATATTCAAACGGATCATTACAAATAGTTTATTGTAGGCAAAAAGGCATCGAGACCTGCTGATACTCTGAGGATGCACAGCTGCTGTAGCTGCCGTGCTAGCGCTACAGAGGCTGTGCAGTGGGATGGCCATGATGCCATGCACTTAAATCAGTATCTTTATCCCTAAAAACAATGTGCGTGTCCACAGATTACTTTTTATAATCTCTTATCAATCCCCGGTGGGTTTTTGTGAAATGTTAGGTTTTGCAGGAGGGACTTTAATTCTTAGGAAAATATAGGAAATGCCAACTTTGGTATCAGAGTCTGTGTGAACTCTGACGGGCTGGTGGCTTGGAAATAAACACTCAAGCAAAGAAAGAGCAGTTGCTTAAGAAAATGGATTATACACCGGTAAACTATAATGCTGAGCCAATTTATTTTCAGAGTTCAGATCATGTCTAAATCTTCTATCAGCGTGGTGTAGATGCAGAGTCCTTGTGTGCTAATGGGCCTCACCATACCCCGGGAAAACGAGAATAAGCTGCTGTTAAATATTGTGGATCCAAATAACATGACGTATTTTGCTTGATACTCAGAGGGGACATTTCCACTGATAAATCCAAAAGAATACAAAAAACAGAGAAGTTTCAGCTCTTTTTTTTTGTTATCTCCATTATTAACATCAGTATTATTTTTCCCTTTTTAGTCGTTCTGATTCGCCTTGTGGTCTGTTTTAAGTGTCTTTGAGTAATTTTGCACTTCTTTATAGTAATTTAATTTAATCAATTTTCAATATTTTGACTTAACGTAATAATAATGTTCCTGGGCATGTACCCAGAAGGCCTCTACTGTTCAACTTAAGCCATGAACTTTGGAGAATGTTGAGCTAATGGATAATCAGGGAAGGACATTGACCAGATTTTCCCTTTTCCCACATGTAGCATGAGATAGTTCACTTCAAACACATTATCACTACTGGAAATACTCCCTTTGGTTTAGGCGTGGAAGCTGCATAAAAAGGGCATGCACAAGGCAGGAAACACAGTGTGAATTCACCAGACAGTGACCTCTGCTTTATACACATTACCTCTGCTTTCCATCACACTGACATTTTTTTTAGGAAGCTGGTTGGCTGAAGGTGAATTAAGGTCTGATCTAACAATCCTATTCTTACTTATGCCTCCATCAGGTAATACCTAAAAAATTCAGGGCTGCAGTGCATGTGTGAAAACACCATCATTCTTACTTTCTTCAGGTTGCCTGACATTGATCGACCCAAACAAACAACTTTCATTTTAGCTGGTTAGCAACTGTGTCTGGTAATTCTGGTAAATGCTCCTTCTCTATAAGTGGTTACTTGTACGGCTGAGATCCACGCTGGTTATAAGCCATATACAATTAATCCATACCTAGCAGATACCTGGCCGACTTAATGGTCTATCAATAATGTTAAAAAGCCAACTACTTTTTGACCACGCCTTTGGCTCCTCCCAGCCCCAGAGTCTTAACCCACTTTGTAAACATGTGGTCCGTGACGACTGTCAAACAAAAACCAGTTCTAAGTAAAATCAGCCCCATTGTTATGGTTTGCTTTCCTTAAAGTGTCTATGATATCATGCGACTGCTATCAGTCTGACATTACTGCCTGGGAAGTAAACCCAGAGTTTGCATATTAATGATTTACATGGCCAAATAGAGTACAGCTGAATTCTATTGTGTCCCCAGTTATTTGAAAACACTGGTTTCCGTTCATCCCCCCCCCCATCAAGAGGTGGCTTTTAAAGTGTCTCAATCATCAGCGTGGCTGCTATTATGCTGGCAAAAACATAAAAAGAAGTTATGAGTTCAAGGCCAAGAACACCATCACCTTCAAGCTGATAGTCGTGCCTGCTTGCATGAATAGGGCTGTAGAAATGAAAATATTTTGCACAAGGACTAGACTTGTGTGGTGTTTCCTTTGCATACTACTTGTCAAGTTAAAAATGATTAACCATATAATCATTAAGCTGTTTTTGTCACATACACAAGCATGAATTCCTCTCTGTGGTTTACCTTTTAAATCACATTTATTGTACGCCTGAAACATATTGAGTTTTGTGCCACGTAACGCCTTTGAAATACAACCCTTAAAAGTATCAGTTAAAAAAACAACACATATTTTCACTTCATATGTACGGCCATGCTTGTGTTGCATCTCAGTTTTTCAAATGCGCTGAAAGAAAAATTACAACTTGAAATTTCATCAAGACACCTTGCCGCAAAACAGCGTACAGTGCACAGTTTTCATGAGTAATATTTCTCAGAAAGTAGTTACAATAAAAAAAAAATTAAAAGCAGTGAAGTCTGTGAATTATTACAAGAGCGATATTATCTCTTAAAAGTAACTAAAGACTGGGCACAACAATAAAAATGCATTTACACCCACTGCAGTAGGGTATGATGAGTAAACCAATGCTTCTTGGCATCCACATACAAATGTACTGCAGGACTTAGCATAAATGCAAGCAGATCGCATCTTCAGATTTCAGGCTTGGCTCTGAATCTCGTTGGTCTCGTGCCCAAATGAGAATTTCCCTTGGCTAATACGGAAGGAGACCCTGGCGCTTCCTTCCCCAACTGTGCCTGGCATCTGTCACTACTTAGGGGGTGGACACACAGTGAACCCCACCCACTCAAGATCTCTCCATTCTGGATGCTTTGAGGCAGGTTTGGTACACTATGATACACAAATGCAGACACACTGTTTAAGCAAATCTAGATTTTAAAACAAATGCACGCAGTACTTCAGCACAAAAAAAGTTTTGGTTTGTTCAAATTAAATGGTTGCTATTACAATAAGCAGACAACAGAACCACATAACTAGCACTGGTCAGTGTGTGCTGCTCCTGTCGGTGCTCCAGTCACTGTCGCCTCTGAGTGCTCGAGCTTGCGTTTTCTCATGGAGATCGTTTTTGTTCACTCTGCAAGCCACAGTGGGGCCAAGAGAGGAGGTGTAGAAACAGGGGTACTGAAATTCATATCAGGACCACAAAGCATTTTTTGTCTTGCCTCTTGGTGTACAGCTTAGACCTGTCAACTGCCCTCTGCAGCCCCTCCACCCAACCACCGACAACCACCGTTGCAACTGGTTAAAAGCCTTTATCTGTACAAAACAACAGCTCTTACAGTTACAGGGCGATGCCAGTAAAACCTTTGCTACAAAGTTAATGAATGTGTTGCTTTGATCCTGTGATTTCCTTTTCCTACCATGCTTTGATTAAGTCGAAATAAGAAAAAAAAAAGGCAAATGAGGAAACAGAAAAAAAAAGAAAGAAAGAAAGGATATGAGATAATCTATATCCTTTCTTTCCACTGGATATCTAATTTCATACACCATTACTGGGAGCAGTGGAATATAAAAACAACATTTTCATATTAAGATGTAAAGTGTCAAACAGTTGTCCATTTGAAAATCTAGCACACACAAAATAGTCTCGGTCTTTTTCATTCATGTATCTTACCAACAAACGGAGACTGACTCAGTATTCAATCATTTTTTAAATTTTGTTTTCCTTGAATCCTAATGGTAACGTCACACTAGGGAAAACAGTGGCTGGAGACTATGGCACAACCAAAATTAGTGCAACAGTGTGTGATGAACTTGGAATCTGGTTACTTCCCAGATAGGAACCAGGTTTGCAACCACTTGCAGTCAGTCTGCTATCAGTTTGCAATCAAATGGGGTCAAGTTGGCAATTACATGTATTCTGTTTCAATAATTCGGGGATTACGTGTGATAAATCTGTGGAAATCTGTTGCCTTACACACACACAGACATTTCCATTAACTACTTGCATTCAGAGTCCAGTGAAAACAGAAAAGCAACGAGACTTGCTCGTACTCCGTAAAATTAAACACCATAGAAATTAGATGCCAGTTACTTGCAAACCTTCTCCAATATGTTTGACAGTGAATACTATCTGTCCAAATGTGTGTGTGATTGTTTGGAGAGAGGCTGTCTCCCATAAAGTGACCTGTGCAATTACCTTGCAATCACAGGTGGTTGAGTTTGTTGCACATTTTGGCCAAAATAAATATTTTCTAATATCAGTCGATTTGTTATAAATAAGAACATTATATACACTAGTAAAGGTCCACATGTTTGGCCTGTTCGTGCTGATGGGCATTAAATTAATATGACATGATCCTTTTATAAAATGCTGTATATGCATGGGACATTTTAGCCCATTGCTGGATGGTTTCCAGGTAAAATGATGAAGTTATGATTTATTATGTATAATTAAGCTTTTGTTGATATAAATGAGATGTTATATCCATGAAATAAAAAACATAAAATTTTTTCATTAGCTGTTACAAATGTGTAAAAGCCACGAAAAAAAAAAAAAGATTTTAGCCACATTTTAGCCCATTGCTAGGTGGTTGGCAGGTAAACCGATGGCATAAAATATCATGAATGATTATGGTTTTATGGTTTTAAACGAAATTAAATAAAATTAAAATGAAACAATGTTTTTATAAGGTATTACAAGGGTCATTTTAGCTTGTTGCCAGGTTGTTGCTAGGCAATGTGACAACGTCTGATATAGATAAGAACCTTCAGGTACATAAGATGTACCCTTGAGCCATGTTTGGATGACCGTCAAAGAAACAAACAAATACATAGATATTTGTGTGCTATAGTGAGATGATGAACACGAGATGTTTCTCCCAAGTTTAAGCAACCCACATCACGAACATCATTCATCATAATTTTAAGCAGACTTTTTTCATGGAAGTTTACATGTTAGACGAGAGGATAATATTTTAAATGTGTCATTGGCAATTAAAGAAAGTGCTTGCCATATATAATCTATGATGTAGCAATGACGTTGCTGCCACTTCAATAACAATATGTCATGAAGAACAAAATGGCCTCCA